TGGCGTGACGAATTCAAAGGTACCGTGGCAAATTGCATGAACAACGCGGATCTCATCCGCGAATTGGGGCTGCTGGGGGGGACTACATCAGCAGAAAGCAAGTCGCACAGCATGGAGGCTTTCGAGTTTATGATGACGCTGATGAAGGAGAGGTTCGACTCCATCTCGCCAGATTTATTTTGCTACCCAGCCAAGTTCAGGACGGCGCTCGGAGAGACGATGTCAGCGGACGAGCAGAAGGTTGCGAGGCAACGCATCAACTGCGATTGGCAGGTCATTCTCTTGACGGAGAAGCACGCCTTGACAATGCCTGATGCGAAGCAGCTCTTGGGGGATACCTTCTGGCTGAAGTGGCCGATCAACCGCTTGGCTTGGGGCCAGAACGAGCGGGAGTTGAATGCCAACCTCGACATCCAGGACGGTTTCATTCGCACGGCGAGTGCGGCTACACAGCATTGGCCAGACTCGAAGGGGCCAGAGGACGTTCACCAGCACATCAGAGATGAGGGCAGGTCTACACGGAACCAACACATCGCCCCGAATCGAGTGTATAGGGCACAGCAGGAGTGCAACATCTCTGGCTCACGCGGCATGGCAACATTCCAGCTCAACGACATGGAGATTGCCACCAACATTTGCCATCATGACACTATGCACTCCCTGGGTCGCGAGTTCAGGGGGGATCCCGACTGTCTGCCACGTCGACTTCGGCGTATCTTAGACGGAGGCCACGAGTACAATTCCCCGAATGGACAGTCGTACGCGAAGGCAGGTTCGGCTTGGAAGTGGCTTTCGCACTGGTCTAAATTGCCCTCCCCAAAACCAAGTTTGCTAAGTTCGTGGCATGGTAGGATGGTGCCAGAGTGTTCCATATTGGTTCATGTCCCGTCGAAGTCGTACATGGTCGTCATTAGCCAACAGTTGTGGAGCCTCTTTGTGTGCGACCTCCAGAAGGGAAGCAAGGGCGACCTGCAGTATCTCAGGATGCGAACCGATAGGGCTGCGTTCCACGATTACTTCTTGACTAAGCCTTGGGAGCGCGAGGTCTTGAACATATCCGAGGTGCCCTACGTTGTTGGAGTTGGCAGGGTTCTCCTTGCGCTGGAGGCCCCCGTGGCACCGTTGGCTGCATCGCTGCTTTCGGGCTTGCCCCTGGCCCTGGACCACATGAACGGCATCGCAGACGAGATGGGCTTGGACCTCGGAGATGCGAAGACCAATATGATGAAGGCGCGCGGGAAGCTGATTGAACTCTTGTTTGGACTTACGCCTGATCTCGTCTCGAAGTGCCAGGCCGCCTTCAAGAAAACTAGTCAGGGCAACTCAGAAGCGGACGAGCTCGGCGAGGACTACCTCGACATGCTTGAGGAGATTATGGCCCACGGTGTTCAGAATTGCAGCGAGATCCAGGCCCTCCGGAAGGATTTGAGGACGAATCGGACGAGACATATGCATGAACAGCGTGCTGTTCGGCGAGCGGCTAAGCTGGCAGAGCAGCTAGAGAAGAAGAAGCTGAAGTCAGTCCTCAAAGGCAAGTTCGCCCAGGGGATGATGGTGAAGGTAGGTGCGAAAGCAAAGGCCAAGGCAGCTGCGAAGGCCGACGTTGCAGGCCATCATGTTGGTGGCTCTGGAGATGGTGTTGCTCCGCCAGTTCCAGAGGCAGGCCCTGCCGTTCCTCCACATGGCGCTGGCGGAGATCCTGGCGCGGCTGACGACGGGGTGATCCCCGAACCTCCCAAGAAGAAGGCGAAGGCTGGCAAGGTTGGCGTATCAAAAGACGGATCGCACCCAGTTCCAGCGGTCAAGGTACCTCGTGCTGAACAGTTCGGCCCGTGGACGTTATCAGAGATATACGAGCATGGTGAGTGCGCTGGTTGGGAAGCGCGCTGCCTCGACCACGTGGACGGAACAGACCTCCGCTGCGTCAAGCACTGCACCATGGGAACGGGCAAGAACGCTTTGACCCACCACACGTGTAAGTTCAAAATGAAACAGTGGTTGATCTACGGCCTTCGACCAGAGATCAAGACGAGAGTAGATCATGTGTATACGGATTGTCTCAGAGCAGATCTGCTTCCCAACACAGAGCCAGAGTTGGACACAATTGCTGAGGATGAGCTCAGGAGGCGGAATAGCAAGGACAAATCATGAGTGAGTTTCGAGCCTTCTGACACGTTGCCCTGTATGTTTTTTCAGCACGTATATCCTTTTTTTTTTTTTTTTTTTTTTTTTCTCATCCTCCTCCTTTGCCAACTCCTCCTCCTCCTCCTCACTTTGCCCCCTGCTCCTCTCCGTCTTACTTGTCCTCGTTTCCTCCTCCTCCTCGCCCTTCTCCTCATCCTTATCTTCCTCACCCACTTCCGTCTGTGGCGCGCGGGCGGCTCCTTCGCCCGACTCTCGGAGCCGACCGACGCCCGGCGCACGGGCAGCGGCCGCGGGCTCCAGCGATCAGGGGGCGGAGGAGAGAGGGGGCGGATCAGGGGGGGGAGGAGGGGGCGGACCAGAGGGAGGAGGAAGGAGGAAGGTGGACTGAGCTGAGAGAGCGGCCCCTCCGCCTGTCTCCCGCCTCGCGCCCGCTCGTGAACGCTTGCTTCCACGAGTTGTGCAAGTTCGGCACTCGAGGAAATTCCACCCGCGACGCGGGGGGGGTGGGGGCGGCCTGGGGGGAGCAAGGAAGGGGCACGAGGGCACACGCGACGACGAACGACGAGCACGCGACCGCAAGCAGGGACGAATGAACGGGGCGGGGGCGAAGAGGGGGGATGGGCGATGACGAGAACGAGGAGGGAGAGGAGGGGGACTGACGGGAGGGAGGGAACGGCGATGGGAAGGACCGACGATGGGAGAAGGCGGGCTGTTGGGCAACATGAATACAACACTACCACCTCTCGTTAGTTAGCGTGGTCCAACACATGCAACTACCAACTCCCCATCACACGTGAGTACACATATGATACTACTGCCCTTAGCACTGAAGCACTGGTGGTCAGGAGGGGAGAACACGCGCCTAACCGTTACGTATAGACCCCCTTCTCTGGGTGTAATGTGTGTTGGGTCCTTGGGAACCTGGCGAGGGCGCTAAAAAAACAGACCCCCCCCCTGGGTGTGTGTGGGGGGCTAGCGAGGTAGTCCGCATGCTACGCGCTCTGCACGTGCTGACGGGATGTGGCATTTCAGGAAGGTTGGGGAACAACAGAAGGCACGACGGCGACCACAGCGACGACGACGACGACGACTGGGCGACGATGACCACGGAGACGACGACGATTGTGATCATTACGAAGCGGCGACGGCTCGACTGAAAGTTCGATTACGCGACTTGCGCGAAAGCGACTGCGACGTACGCGACGACAACGAGGACGGCGAGCAGGACTACGGGACCGAAGCTTACGGCGAATGTGGGGCAGCCCAGGGGGAACACGGCGACTACGGCGACTGATGGGGTCGACCGCGACGACTGATGGGCAATCAAATTGGACGACGACGACGACGGCGACGACCGCGACGGCTACGACGATTATGAGACGACTGCTAAGAGGGATATGAAAATAAAAGCAACGTGTTGTTCGGACGACGGCGGCGGCTGCGACGACGACGGCGATGACGACGACGACGACGACGACGACGACGACGACGACGACTACGACTACGACTACGACTACGACGGTGACGAGCACGACGACGATGACGCTGACGCTGATGACGGTGGCGACGCCTCTCCCCGTCCCCTTCCTATGTTGCGTCCTCCCCACCATCCTCCTACGTCGCCATTTTGGCTCAAGCCTCGAGGGCGCTACGCGCGCCCGTGGCATGGGCAACGCTACTGCGGTGCACGCCGTGGCCCGAGCTGTTTCGGCCAGTGACGCTGCCGAACGGATTAAAACCCACGCTTGTGGGCCCGAGGGGAGTTCCCCGCCTGCGCGGCGGCAGTTGTGCATGGGCGGTTCGCACCTGCCCAGGGTATAGGGGAACGGGTCGTTGCCGCGGGCGCGCAGGGAAAGCGCGTCCGCCTCGACGCGCCGCCGGGGGTGATCTTGTCGCACAGCTCCCTGGCCAAGCCTGCGCTGTCCTCCGAATCCTGGTCATCCCCTCTACTTGTGTTATCGTCCTGATGATCTACCTTCAGCTTTTAGCAGTCTTTCTCCTTGCGGCGTTTCCTTTTCACATGCGCGCGTTTTTCTTTCCCCCGCTATCGTCTTTTGAACGATCCTCCCCCCCCTCCCATCCTGCCCCCAACAGCGGGCCCATGAATGCCAAAACCTTATTCTCGGGATTTCAACGCCACGGATCAACCTGACTGCTGCGTCTTGACGACCCTGAATCGTACGAGAGCGCCGCTTTTTGGGACTCCAACACCGCGATTCACCATAACTGTTGCGCCCGCATGATCCTGAATCCTTCCAACACGCCAGTTTTGGTACGTTGATCATTCGAATCCGTGAAGCTCTTCCAAATTTTATGGGCGAATGTGCGCGGCGCTAAGGCGAGAACCACACTTTGAAAATAACAGCCCTCAGTCAGTGAACCTCTTGCACATTTCATAAACGACTGTGCGCGGCGCTAAGGCGAGAGCCACATTTTGACAACGCCCCGTCCTCAATCCGTCAGGCTCTTGCAGTTTTCGGAACCCGCCCTCAATCCGTGAAGCTCTTGCAGATTTCCACAATGAATGTGCGCGGCGCTAAGGCGAGAGCCACATTTTGAAAGCCACCCGTGTTCAATCCATGAAACCCTTGCAAACTTTGAAACGGAATTTGCGCGGCGCTAAGGCGAGAGCCACATTAAAAACACCCGCCCTCCGTCTGTGAAGCTGTTACCGCTTTTAAGCTTCAGAGTCATGGGTGGTGAGGAAGTATCAGGCGAAACGCTCTGCCCGCCCTGAACATTGGCCTCGGAATGCGACATGGAGAAGTTATTTATAAGGAAAAAGGGTGGTGGACAAGGAGGAGGAAGAGGAGGTGGATGAGCAAGATCAGGGGTGAATGCTTGCAGCCTCGCAGGAGTATTTTGGCACCGCCGACGAAGACGACGCGCGGGTGGTACGCCCCCCCCCCCTACCATGCCCCTGGGCATTGAGAGGCGGATGAGACGGCGGATGGTGAGGAGGAGGGGCAGCAGGAATGCCGCAGGATGGGGTATTGGAACAGGAGGAAGGGGGATTGACGGGTGAGGGATTGGGTGATGGGGAGGAGGAGGAAGGGGGGGAGGAGGAGGCGGAAGAGGAGGAGGCATTGGACGAGAGGGAGGAGGCGGAGGAGGAGGAGGAGGAGGAGGAAGACGAGGAGTAGGAGGAGGTGGAGGAGGAGGAGGAGGTCTTGGATAAGGAGGAGGATGACTCGGAGGAAGGTGAGGAGGAGGACGAGCAGGAGGAGGAGGAGGAGGAGGAGGAGGGGGAGCAGGATGACGAGGAGGAGTAGGAGGATGAGGAGGAAGGAGGAGGAGGAGGAGGAGATGGAGGGGCGGGAGGGGGATAGAGGGAGGGATGACTGTCGCAATGATGATGATGCTGGTGAGGATGGTGAGGAGGCTGAGGACGCGGATGCGGCTGAGCATAATGATGCAGGAGTGGCGACGATGAGGGGGATGAGCGTGAGATGATGCTGTTATTGACGATGGCGGCGACGACGACCACGATGCTGATGGTGCTGATGATGTTGATGCTGATGATGACGATTATGATGATGATGATTATGATGATGATGATGCTGAGGATGCTGATGCTGATGCTGACCATGATGATGATGTTGATGGTGATGATAATGCTGCTGATGATGCTGATTGATATTGCTGCTGATGATGATGGTGATGATGTGGGTGGTCATGATGATGGTGACGACGATGATTCTGTTGATGATGATGCTGCTGCTCATGATGATGAGGATGGCGATTCTGATACATATGACAATGATGATGCTATTGCCTTGCAGTATTATGCAGGTGGATGCCACAGCTGGGGTCGACGTCGCGTTTTCTGTTTGTTTCCTTATGTACGTATCTGCTTACAGTTTGTAGTCATGCAGTCTTACGTGATTATATACCCGATGAAGCGTCTGTTACTTTGGATGGCAAGGATTATGTTGTTGATGGCGTTGCACTGCAGCGAGGAGGTGTATTACATTGACACTGCTGATGATGACAGGGGCATTGGTTGCAGTGTCACTCGGTGCGTTTGTACCCAAGTGGCCTTTGTTCTGATTGTCACGAGTTCCTTGAGGAACCTCGACATGTTTGTGCTTGGGTCGACCAGGACATGACTACTCTGGGGTTCTTAATAAGCATGGCCCCCCCCCGACGGGGGTCAACCTCGCCTCGTTGTCGCGCCGCGACGGGGGTCGGAGCACCTTCGGCGCGCGGTGGCTGCCCGCGACGGGGTCGATGTGGGGCTGTCGGAAGGAGTGACGCCTCCCCGACGCTTGTTAAGAAACTCGGAGTACCTTTGATCAGTGGCATTCGCATCCTTCAGACAAGCGACCTCCTGTTCGTCTCGTCTCAACATGGATGTGTATGTTACCCCGCCCACTGCGAGTTGACCCCTGAGCACCAGGAGAAGGTCGGCGCATGTGATACCTGTAGTGATGGTCATCACTCCCAGCCAGACTGGGTCGGGGGCCACTGGAGTGGGTGCTGACTTGACCCCCAGTCCAGTTCTGCGCCAGAACTGCAGAGCCCAATGCCATCAGGAATTGGCTGCTGAGCGGTGGACTCGCGCGTCCTTTCCCTTGTTCAGGAGCGCGGAAACGGGGTGGGGGGGCTCAGGCTGGGGGGAACATCGTCCACCACTCGCCAAGTCATCGCCGTCTGGGACATTCAGGAGGGTAAATACACACGGACACAATTAATCGTCGACTCCCAGGAAAATATGGGAGCATATGGCAAGGTCGGGGAACACGAAAACCCAGGAAATATGGGAAAATATAGGGGGATCCTGGGATTTGGGTGTATTTATTTGTGTGTCCTTGGGTCCCTTTGGGTGCTCCACCATGCACAGGAGTGTGCGGTCTTGACATCGGGGGCCGACCGCAGATCTGTCGGCTTCGACTCCAGGGCGAGGTTTCCCGTCTGTGAGTCAGTCCCCTCCCCCCCTGATTCTCTTCGGACCTTCCGCCCTGGCCTTGCGCCTCTTTTCTGACAAGATCCATGGGCGTTTTCTTGAACTGCGTAAGGTTTCTCAGGAGCTCCGATGAACTCTTCCGCACCGTCTGCGGAGGTCGGATGGTATGGCGGGTGGATGTGGAGGGCCCCGCTGTTCGGAGCTCCTCGCTCCCTTGCCCTTCCGCACCCGCACGGCCAGAAAGCGCTGCCCTGCACTGCCGCCTCGACGGCCTCGGGCGAGCTGCTCTGCTACGTCCCCTCCGCGAAGTTCGTGGGCGTGCCCAGTGCCGCTCTCCGCCGTTTGCAGCGGCCGCCGCCCCGTCGCCGGCGCCGCCTCTCCGTCGATAGACGCTTCGCTGCCGCTGCTGCCGCTGCTCCTGATGTCACCGAGCGCGTTCCACCTCTCGCGAAGCGCCTACTCGCCGACCTCGGAAAAGCACAAAGTTGCCTCGACGCAGTGGGTCTTGAATCCCCGGCGGCGGATCCAGGCCACTTGCGAGTGGCTACTATTGCGAGTGGTGGAACGCACTTGTCTATGATGCTTCTCCTTTAACGGGCGAAGAACGGTATCACATAAACTTTTTCGCTGTCGGGGGCGCCTGCCCCTGGGCGGCTGGAAAGTTCATGTTATACCGTTCTTCGCCCGTTAACTCCTAGCCCTGCTGCTCCTGCTCGGTCCAGAAGCAGAACTGTGGGCTGTCCTGACGAGAGCGGGAAAGCATGCAGCTTGGCACCACGAGCGTTGCCCCACCTGGCCCAGTGTGGTGCAGAGGCCCGTCCATCGGGGCTCAAGAGACGGGGGTGAATGCAAACGGGATCCTGCAGAGCCAGGGTTGCACTGACCCAGGCTTGGGTGCAAGATCTTGCAGGATCCTGCCTGCAGGATACTGGCTGACCCTGGCTTGGATGACCTGGATCAGTAGTCACCCGAGTTCAGTACGGACAGCGTCAATACCCTCGCCGTCCGTCATTTTTCGGTCTTCCTCCTCCTCCATTTTCTCTCTCTCTCTCTCTCTCCCGCTCTCTCGGCCTCTGAGTTCTCTGAACGCGGCCATCCTCCACCCCTGGGGCCAGTCGGCCCTGGGGGGGTCGATGATCACAACAGTACTGCACAAGAAAGAGTAAGTGACCGTGTGAGGGTCTGATGATCAAACCAGTACTGTGCTCTTCATCATGGCGTTCGCTGTGGGGGTGGCGCTGCTGGGCGTCGGCACGGTGTTACCCACCTGGCGAGTTGCGCCAGCAGGCAGGTGTCGTATGGCGTTGGAGGCCGTGGGGAGGACCCCCGAGGGTGGGGGGCAGCTTAGTCCCCGGGGGCACGGAGATGGCGGAGCGAGGGGGGGTGAGGGGGACCCTTGGGGGACGGCCGCGGAGATGGCGGAGCGAGGGGGGGTGAGGGGGACCCTTGGGGGACGGCCGCGGAGATGGCGGAGCGAGGGGGGTCAGGGGGACCCTCGGGGGACGGCCGCGGAGATGGCGGAGCCCGGGGGGAGGGAGACCGAGGATGATACATCAGTCCAGGGCGGCACAGAGGGGGGTGATGACTAGGGGGGGTGGATATCCTGGCGCGGGCCATGATATTTCCCCAGATTTCCTGGCGCCTCTTCTTATTTCATTACGTCCCTGGCCCCCCCGTTTGGCCGCGCACATGCCTCCAGCCATGATTTGCACCCCCCCCCTCCTGGACGCCCCCCCTCTTGGCCGCCCCCGAATCAGCGAAATCATAAGAAAACCCTAGTCCTAAAGAACAAGCTGAAGACGTAGCCCAACTTGGGTGCCCGTTCTCCACATTCTGGCATCAGGGATCACACATCTGTGCGGTCTGTCTGAGACATCTGCAGAACAGAGCCCTGTCCCTGACGCCTTGGGCCCCTTAATTTGGGTTCGTTTCCACAGGGGGGTCTTGGGGTCTGGGCATGGCCGCTACGGCCGCTTCCCGGGGTATGCCCCACACGGGCTCCCTCTCAGGTCATGCGGCCCTTCGGGGCGCGGCCATCGTGGGGGGTTTTGAGCAGGGGTTCGAGGGGGCTGTTGGTGAGGGCAGGGGGTCGTGGGGTTCGTAGGGCAGGAGGTCGTGGGGCAGGGAGGGGTCGCGGGGCATGGGGCCGTAGTTCCCCTCACGAGAGGAGGGACGGCGAAGAGGGAGGACGAGGGGGGGGAGTTGTCGTGGGGTCCGCCGTGGGGGTCCGTCGCGGGGTCCGTCGGGGGCCGTCGTGGAGGGCGTCTTGGGAGGGCTCGGCTGTGCCTATGACCACTTCCCCGGGCATGCCCTCCGCGGGCTCCCTCTCAGGGCATGCGGTCACTCGTGACTTGGAGTCCGCCGAGGGGCAGTCGGCGCCACTCGCAGTCTGGCCAGCGGCCCCGGGGGCGTGGCTGGGGAGTCGTGGGGTTCCTCGAGGGGGCCGTAGGGTAAGGGGTTGTGGGGATAGGCGTAGCAGGCGCACGCCGGGGTGTAGGGAGGCAGGCGGGGAGCCCCATCGTCGTCGTGAGTGTCGTCGGCGCTGCGATGGGTCCCGGCCCAGTTTCGCCCGAAACGCCGCGGAGCATTCAGGGCGCTCTGGTAAGTTGTCGGGGACCTCTATGACGATGTGTGTCATCGGCGAGGCCAGGGTTGAAGTGGTTCCGGGGGGCTGCTTCCGGCGCCGCTGTCCGCCTGCGGCGAGCTGCTCTCCTGGCCGGGCTGGCCCGATGTCTATGATCTGCCTGGCCCGGAGAGAGGTTGCTGAAAGGCTGGGGCTTGCTTCCGATGCATGCTTGGGCCGTCTCGCAGTCGGGCAGCCCCCTCCTCCTCCTCCTCCTCCTCCTCCTCCTCCTCCTCCTCCTCTTCCTCCTCCATCTCCCCCCAGAGCATTGCACACGTCGGCGTCGACCAGCGCCGCGGGCTCCTCGGCGATCGCCGGGCGCCGCGCTTGGCCTGTCGCCCGCTGCGGGGCCCCCTGCCCCAGCG